ACCTCCTCTGCTCTAAGCTACACAGGAGGGAGATGGCAAAACTGCCAGTTCAGAGACAGTTCCACAAAAAGCCCCATTACCTGATGGAATTATAAGACCTTTTAGGGGATATGTGCTGCTAAGAGCAGATCTATTAAACATTTCATAATTTACGTTGAGGTGCTTGTACCTGTACTTTGCACATCAGCTGATGTCACGTGGATGACAGTATCACAGTAAAGGTGGCATTTTAATTAACATCATAGAATCGCTTAGGCCGAAAAATCCCTCTAAGATAACCAATTCCAACCATTAACGTAGCACTGCCAAGCTGCCACTAACTCATGTCCCTCAGTGCCACAGCTACACGGCTTTTAAACACCTCCGGGGATGGTGATTCCACCACTGACCTAGGCAGCCCATTCTGGTGCTTGACAGTGCTTTTAGTGAAGAAACTTTCCCTAATATCCAATCTAAACCTACCCAGGTGCAACTTGGGGCTGCTTCCTCTTGTCCTGTCACTTGTTCCACCTGGGAGAAGAGGCTGACCCCACCTGGCTACAATCTCCTTTCAGGTGCTGTAGATCCATAAGGTTCCCCCGAGCCTCCTTTTCTCCAGGCTGAACACCCCCAGCTAGTCCCAAGGTACTTGTGCTCCAGCCCTTGCCCAGCTCCCCTGCCCTTCTCTGGACACACTCCAGCACCCCAAAGTCTTTGTGTAGGGAGGGGCCCAAAACTGAACCCAGCATTGGAGCTGTGGCCTCAGCAGTGCCCAGCACAGGGGGACAATCCCTGCCCTGGTCCTGCTGGCCACACTACTGCTGACACAGCCGGGATGCTTTGAGTTTAAAAAACCCAAAAAAACAACAACTCAGCTCTGGATTTCAGCTGGACCAACACCTATAGCCTGAAACCAAAGCTACAATCCCCAGCCACCAGATACAGGCTACAAGTGACAATGACACCAGATGACATGGTCCCCACACACCTTTTCTTTCATTACTTTCACCAGAAAAACATTTCTAATGCTCAGAATCAGTCAAAAAGAAGGGAACCTGATCTGGCAGGCATTGGATAAGGGTGCAATCCTGCATACCTGAAGAGCTGCTCCCCCTCCATCAGGGAGCCACGCTAATGAGGCTGCTTCTGCTGGGCACAGGCTGATGTCAGTAGCTGTCAGACTGTGCAGCTTGACAGGTTTTTGTTCAACGAAAAGAAAATAAAACACATCAACCAGAATGCTGTACAGTCAGGCTGCAAAGGCTGGTTTAAAATCCACAGTTGCAGCAGGAAATGTGGCAGTATTTTAGCAGAAATCTGGCTGGCTGTTGCACACTGAGCCCTGCTGAGTATTCATACTCAGGGTAATGTTTTCACTCTGTGCTGAACTATAAACCAATGGAAAAAAAAATTGAAACATATGTGATTATCTTGATGAATGCTACAACAGTGCTAGAAAATGACATTTGTGACAAGGCTTCATGAGCTGGAGCTGAGACAAGCAGGGTAATGGCTCCTGTTTACCATAGAAGTTTCAGTAGAAAATGAGCTAATTTGTTATAAACAACTGGCCAACAGATGAAGTTTTGCAAGTCTCACTAAGGAGGAAACAGATTCAAAACAAGAAGTGTGTTTTGGGGGTACTTAGGACTGTAAAAAGATACAACATTAATCAGCTAGTGATAACAATATAGAGATCTCTCAGGTATTTGCTCCATCACACCAGACACCAAGTTCTGATGTGTTTGCCCTAGGTAAGCCAAGTTAGAATCCCTCAAATCCTGATTTAAACATGAAGCTTTAAGAGAAGGAGAGCTCCTCTGAATTCTGAATTTCTCTCTGCTCCTTCAGAGCAGATATAAAGCACCAAGGATCAGAATCTCCCTCTGAAGTGTCTGTGGTTCTCCATCTGCTGCAGGGAGCCTAGGGTTACCAAGGTCTCAGTGTAGGCACTGCAGAGAAGTGTCTAAGCTTCAGCTGAATTAATCCCCTCTCCTCTTCCATGGCCAGCTTTGAAAAAGCTTCTAACTTGAGCAAGCCTCAGCAGGGGAAGCCTTACAAGCTTTACCAACACTGAAAAATAGTCCTTGCAGTTCAGAGGGAGCTTGAACACACTTTGGAGTTCACTCCTCTTCTAGAAGGACTCCTATTGCTGCTGTCATCTGGCCAAGCTGACTTCCCTCTTGAGTAGCTGCAGTTTTTCTTCCTTTTCTCCTGGGGATGATGTTAGGGCTGCACCATTTGTCTTCCCTTCAGGCAGACAAGGACTTGTGACAAGCAACACATATGGAACAGGAATCCTGCCATCACAAAACTTCAGTTGTCACATGGGACTCAGAAAAGATGGCAGGTGAGCAGTAATCATTCTTTCTTCCAAATTTAGGGCCCTTTAAGCAGTTAACAACTGCTTTTCAGCTTTGGCTACAGCATCTCTGGGCTCTAATGATCCACTTAGGTCTATACACATGCAGGAAGGCATATAGAGCATGACATATACCAGTCAAAAATTAGCATGCAACAATGTCTTTACTAGGTCAACTTCCTGCTGGATCAAGAGTGGGTTCAAGCAAATGCAAAGGCAAGTGAAGGCTGAAGAGATTGGGACAGATCTACACTATACAGAGGGTTAGTTTCAGCCCTATAGGCTAAGGCTTCAATTGCAGCAGTGATTTTGGCTTATTTTCCTTTTTTTTTTCTTTGCTGTGCTTATTCTTGAATGATCACAGCAGTACTTTGGCATTCAGCAGTCAGAAAACTCAAAGACTACAGCTGTGCTTCCAGCTTGTTCCAAGAACTCCAACTGGATGAAAATAAATTACAATGTTTTGTGAAATTGGAATATCCTCTTTCGGTCGCATCCCTCACAAAAACCAAAGTGACATGCCAAGAAGCCCAAAGACCAAAAACCAAACAAACACATTCTAAAATAATACTATCTTCTACTAAAGCAGCAGAAGCACATGCTGTTCTGTACCTTGAAGCTGCTGAGCAGCTGTAATTGTGGAAGTACAGGGTCAAGTCACCCTCTCTGAGCTCCCATGTGCAGTAATAACCCTCTCTCACTCCAAGAGTAGGTCAGGCAAGAGCCCTTTCCAGCACACAGAGGACATGTGGCCAGGGAGAGAGGCCAGCCAGGTGACATCTCCACCTTCAGCTTCTGGCCTCTGCCCACCCTTGTCTTGATGGTGTAGCTAGAAGCTGTTACTGCTGTGACCATTTAGAAAGCCCTTGTCCTGCACTAACTTGAAAGTCACATTAAGAAGCCTGTGTTTAAGGCACAGGTGCCTCTCAACTCCTAAACTGTGGTTACACTTGGTTTGACAGTGAGACTCTTATTTTGGCTGCCTTGTTAATAACTGCCCAAGAGCACAACTACACACTACTTCTTTACTGGTGTACAGAATGCACATGCAGGGGGCCAGAACTCAGGTTGCACAGGTAACTGCAAAACTGGCATTTTCTAGCTTTGACTTCTTGTTTTCCAATCAAAATAACATTATTAGTACAGATTATTATTAGTATTAGTACAGTTATTATTAGTACAGAGGAGTTCTATACATAATGATACAGATTGCAATAGTAGAGGAGGAATCAGGACCCCACTGAGCTGGCATTATGCAAATATACAAAAGACAGCCTTCTTTTAAATCCACAGGAGGACTTTCAGCTCTCCCAGAATGACTCAGTGACAGAATGTGGTGGCATTGTACAGAAAGTGTTTTTATGGCTCTGAAGTTACACTAGTCAGAAAATCTCATATTAATCTGTTAGTCATCTGGGAAAAAAAATTGCTTCATTTTTCAGTGCTAATGATCACAGAGTCATAAAATTGTTTAGGGTGGAAAAGACCTTTAAGATCATCCAGTCCAACCATTAACCCAGCACTGCCAAGCCCACCACTAAACCATGTACCCGAGCTCCTCATCTACACATCTTTTATATCCCTCCAGGGATGGTGACTCAACCACTTCCTATGATTAGCCTTTTGAAATTTTTACCCACTAACTTTAGGCTCTTTCATAATGTTGCTGAGAAAAAAACCACAACTAGAATGGCACAAGGTTTGCTATGGAAACACAGTGATTTGTGATAAGCAAAATTTCTCTGACGTCACAGAACTTCCATCAGAGATGACATGAGAACATGCCAAACAATGGTTTTCAGGAAGCAGCTTCCTCAAACAGCAGCAAATGAAAGCAGAAGGCAAGCTGTGAACTAGCTGATGAAAATCATCACCCTAAAAGAACAGCAGCTTTAAGTTTAGAGGTTGTTATACAAGTGAAGCTGTAATTAGAAGAACATATCTCCCAGTGATACCACATGAGCACTCCTGGTCAACAGTGAGGCTGACATGATATTTATTCACAGTGGATAACTGCTATTGCTATCTGTGCCATTGCTTTCTCATAGAAAGGAATTTGGGGTGGCAGCTGTATGTAGCAGAATCATTTAAATGTGCTTGTTTTTCAATCCTTTGCATTTATAATGAAAAAAAATAGGTTATATGCACTGGAGATTTAGATAAAGCTAAGCAAAGTTGGAAGGAAGAAGACTTCAAAGAAGAAAGGTGTCCCTGGGGCTAAGGTCATTTAAAATCACCAGATCTGGAACTTCAGTCTTTTTGTATCTCAGTTTCCTGCCCAGGATCCTCATTAGGTACACTAGCTTTTTCAACATTGATTACAAAAAGCATGTATGTAAGCAGGCAGAGTGAGATAACATGGCTAAGGACTGATGGACAGGGCCTTAATCTTCAACAAATATGCCCAAGTTCTCTAATGTCCATAGAACACTAAGCTCCTCATTTCTGTGACTCTAAATGTAAATCCAGAATAATTCTGCTGAGGTTTAAATTTGGACAAGTTCAGAAACAGATCAGAAACATCCTTAAATATGTGTTTTGTTAAGGAGAAAAGCACAAGTCAAACAGAACCCCATTCATATTGACATTAGGAGCTGGCAGTCCAAAGGGCAGAGTCAGTTCTGTGGCTCCAGGGCATGCCAGTGCCACCTGATAGGGCTGAGCACTCACCAGGTCAGTGTGTGTGTCCAGTGGAACTGATTTGAACTACACAGAGAATGCTGGACTCATTTTAGTACCTGCTCCATGAAATCCTCCACAGAGGTACAGCTTCCCTTCCACGCAGCCTGCACTGGTGGAGTTTGTCCGTAAGGAGAGGAGGGGAGAAGGCATTGGGGGTCCATCCCTCCAAAAGTCTCCATCAGGGTTATAAATCTCCACTGCATCAAGACATTTCCGTGTCTGTCCTCTGTCATAACCAAGGCACCCAATTCCTCCTGCAAAAGAGACACAGGTCAATTGTAGCAGTCCCACGTTCTGCTGTAAAATACATTGCTGGCTGCATTTTCTGTTTGCATCTTCTCATTTCCCACTCTTTCCTCTTCGCAGCTTCAGGAGTTTGTGAGAGAGCACAAAGCAGAAGCTACAGCACGTTATCCACAGACACCAAAGTAAGATCCCTTCTGAAGTCTCATATCAAAGGAAGGATGAGCAGAATATCTTCAAAACACAAAGGTATTTTGTTTTGTTTTCTTCCCATATGGTAGAAATTGTCATAATTATTTGTTCTATTTGCTGGACAAATTGCAATGGATCAAAACTTATTTTTCAAATACTGTTGTAGGATTTGACCTTCACATGTTACCGACAATTGTTTGCATTTGTTGGTTAGTTTTCTTCAATAAAAGAAAAATATTATACCTATCTCTTATGGCACATTACTCTTATTTCTTAAAGCAAATAAAATTCCAGTAACCAACCCATCCAACAGACAGGGGAGCCAGCTGAGTTGTTAGCAACAAGCCCCACTGTTGAGTGTTTAACTAGGGTGCTTGAAGTCAGTATGCAGGATTGAAATAGATCCCAGTTTCCTTTTGCAGGTGTACCTGAGATCCCTATGCACACTGGAAACAATGACAGCACTTTGCAAACTCTGCCTTTCCAAATCCCTTCCAGTGATCAAATCCACATTTTGAATTTACAGCCTTTGGTTCTGGGGAATTAATATGCTGACGTCCCCGTGCAGGTTTTCCATCTGTGCCAATGGACACAATACCCTGTAATGAGCACTGATGGCGTTCTTTTGTGCATGTGTGTGTTTGGGACTGCTTTTAAACATCCAATGGCTGCAATAGGCAAGCCATTTCCCCATGGAGCCTGGCATCCCAGATACACGTGTAGGGCTCCATTGTGCAAATCCAAAATGCTTTGTAAGCATGTAATTACGCCCTTGCATATGCAAAGGGGAAGGACTGCAAGTGCAACCTGTGCTGGTTCAGCTGCTTTTAAAATATATTGCCCCTAGTGTTATTAAGCTGGTCTGTCAGAGAAATGAGCCCGTAGTGCTCCAAGTTTTATTTGTATATTATTCTCCATCTACCTCTTAAAATGGACCATGTTATTTTTTAAATCTTTTGTGCATTCTCCAGAAGTATTTGCAAGAGAAAGCTCCCTATAAATGGGGACTGCAGTGCTCCAAATTTGCTAGCACTGTATTCCTGATTTTCATTTTAGAGTCAGGCAAAGATAAAATCAGTCAAACCTGAATCAGAGCAGCAAAATTAGAATAAAATTCAGTGTCCATTATCATCAGCAGGAAGCTTTCCTCTGGCTTAAATTAACAGTATTCTATTTTGTTCAATATTTGAAATTAAAACCCTTCACCAAGTTTGGTTTTCGTCTCCTTTTCCAGCACAGGGAACCTTTACTTGTCCCAGTACCCACCAGCAAGGTCCTTGCAGTTTGTACTGGATACCCCTTAGTGTGTGCTCACACGAGGCTGGCATTGCAATGTGTTCAGCATTAACACCCTCAATTAAAGCAGCATTTGCTCTGATGGGCTCCTCCTCTGAGGCTTGATTCACCTAAGAGAGCTGAGGCAGAGGTTAACTGTGGTCATGGGATTTTGCTAATCATTTCCTTGTCAAAAAGGGAAGCATCATCCTGCTGAGCCTCTCATGATGGAGTCTCAGTGAGTTATTCCTTGGGGTATTTCAGAATTCAGACTTTTACTTTCTGTATTGTTCTTTATGCCATTATCCTCTCCTGTGCAGACTTTTCCACTACTCCTTATTGCCTCACTAAAGAGGTGCCACTCTTAGGACAGGACAATATTCCCCTAAATTTATTAAGAAAAATTCTAAGAGCTAATCAAATTTTTTTAACTGATAAGGCTACTTAATTGATTGCTTCTCAAATGGTTTCTGATTGTACAGCTTCCTTTGGCAGATTCCTAGAATACAGCATGAAAACAATTTGCCACCAGTTTATGTACAGTCCACAGACTGCAGTGTAATGCAGAGAGAGAGTCTCAGGGCAGTTTTAACTGGGAACCAGTAATATTAAAACTCCACACAGACTAAACTGACCCTTTCAAAATACATCTTTGTGGTGCCAAAGACAGATGGCTGCTGGTTGTCAAGCTAGATATTTTTAAATTAGCCCAGTTGTTACTGTACCCCACTGAAGAATATGCACTCACCCAAAAGAAAAGTCTTCGTGTGAAAAATGAGAGAGGTTCTTGTTCCATCAGAGGAATAAATGGTACCAGTTAGGGAATGCATGCAGCATGGCAGAAACCAATAACTCAGCTGATTGCCTTATTATTTCAAGCAGGGAGGGGAGGTGAACAAAATGGCTCTGAACTTCTCTAGAAGCATAATAGCTGTTTATTTCTTACTGTGTTTTTATTGTCATTTTCTAAATAGAGCAACTGTGAGGCAAGGTAACTTCAGAAAGAACACAAATAATCAGGTACAAAACTGACAAAGCAGTCAGTGACTTTATGCAAAAAAACTGCCTTACAACCATTACCTATTAATGAAGGCATTCAGCTGCCAGTCCAGGGGATCCACCACTAAACATTTTTCCTGTACAGTTATTAGAAAATTAGTTTTCCAGGACCTATTGGTGCATCTTTTCAAAAATTTCAGAGCTACTACAGGTTTTCAAGCATTTATGAAACCTTCATGGGGTGGTTTAAGCAAATTATATTTAACCCCTTTTAATCCTGTCTTTATCAGAGACAGTCCTGAATGTACAAAACATTTCCATTTTATTTAAACCCTGCACAGCTATTTCAGCTAAATCCAATTTCAAATTCAATTTACAATAGCAAAACTAAGTTCTCAGCAAATAGAAAGGAAGAAGGAAAAATCAGAGGGGAGTAAAATTTAATTTTCAAGCTTAGAAGCAGAGCATTATGGAAAACAAGAAATCATGAACTTTAACCTCCTCTCTTAAAGCAATGTTAACACTGAAAGGTTGCTAACAAAGGAACTGAGGATATCAGACTCTTTGAGCACTGTTTTTCTGTGTTCCCAGATGCAGTAGTAGAGAATTATTCCTGTGAGAAAGTATATTTTTCCTTCTATGGAATTGGATGCTCAGGACTCTTTCCAAAGAGCTGAATACAAAAACCACCACCAAAAAAATCTCGAATTTAAATCAATTCACATCTACAACCAAGTGGAGGAATCTCACATTTACCAGGCTATTCATAATCCACAATTTATATACCATGTGAGATTTCAAATTGGCAGGAAAAACCCCATTGTGTCAGACAACTCTGGCCACTTTGTGATCCATCACTGAAGAATCCAGGATGATCTGTCCCACTGGCTTCTTCATTTTTATGAAACCATCAGGAATTCAAGTGGAGACACAGGGAACTGTAGTTAAGACAACAAAGACTGTCTTGATCTCAGGTTCTCTGGATAGAGCACCTGAAAAACTGAGCTCATGCTCTGCTCCTACAGGAGCCTCTACATAAAATGGGGGTGACATTTAGGGAGCTAAGGCAGAAGAGGGCATAGGGGTTTAGGTCATTAGGCCTGTGTTTAACTGATGCTCCTGGACCTATGGGCAAAAGGGGTGGCTGGAGGCCCCAGGTGATGCTGCTCAGGATGATCAAGAGTTGTTAGTGCCCTCAGGGTACTGACAGAGTTATTCTTTATCCTATAACTGGGTCCTCAGATCACAGTACCAAGCAACATGTGCTCTTAGTAGTGCCTCTTTGAATTTCTATCAAAGGAACCTGGGAAATAGGTTAAAAAAAAAAAAAAAGGGACTCTTCAACAAGCAAATGAAATCCAGGATTTGTCTCCTGTAAAGTAATTCATTATTAAATTGATCTCTGGAATGCGCAATGAATTTAATAGTGCTAATCTCTTATGTAACATTTCCCTCCATTACCAGCACTCAAGCTGAGCCTCAGCAGTTATATTTCTCTCTCATTCTCTGCTAAGCAGGGCTGGATGGCAGAGAAATGAGGGAGCCATAAAGCAGCCCTGGCAGGCACTTCCAAAGATGAAACCAAGAATCACTCTCATCCTTTGCTAACCCAGAGCACAGCAGATGAGGTAATGCAGCTCGTAGAAGACACGAGGGCATAAGATTGATTAAAAGCAGGGCTGAAAAACCAGATCATTGTCTTCCTAAGCATGGTCAGTGTTTCAGTTTCAGCTCTTTTTCTCATAAAATGCCTTTTCTGACTCCCTTTGAAAATACTTAAGTGTGTAAAAAGCAATTTCAATCTCATCCATCAGACCAATTTATCTGCCTATTTTTGTTCCTGCCTGCACATGGACACTTTGGAGGCTGTTGCACAGGTATAAAAGCTCAGAATCAGACCCATAAGCTGCTACTTGTCAGAAGTCCAAAGCATATTTATAAATAGACATGTTTATTTTAAAAGAAAGTGTTTTTCAAATGCACAGTTAATACTGAAGCATGAAAGCTAAAATGTCTCCTTCCAGCTCCTCCTACACACACTTTCTTTTCCAGAGAGACCCCAAAGTACATATTCAAATAAGTATTTTATGATCAAGACATTCAGTATTTAATTGAACCTCATTTAACTGTTTAAAACTTTTAAAAGAAGCTTTCAGCAAGAATCCCAGGGGGAAAAGCCCAAGTTGTAAGAAGTAGGATGCCAGTCTGAGGAGGATAAACAAAAATTCTTTGGTTCCTAAATCTTCCCTAATAGGATTTCTCATCTAAGTCCTTCAATACATTATTATTTATAAAGCAGGAATTATACAGTATAAAAGCAACACATGGTAAAAACTGTCATAGTGATAGAGCTTTTTTTTTACCAGTGACCTGTATTTCAGGGACATTAGTTCTACTGAGTGTGTTTTGACATAAGTAATGAATATGGCATTCAAATGGATTCATTTGGATAAGTGTTCCTGATTTGTATGTTGGCTGTGATAAGTTTTTAGAGAAGTAGCTGGAAAGGATATTTTTTTTAAGTGAGAGATTAAAATGCATGACCTTAAATAGAGCCCTCCCATCTGGTTTTCTTCCAAAAGTGTCTCAATTGCCTCTGTCATTAAGAACACAATACTGCTTTTTCTTGGGCTTTCCAACAAATATAGTTATGTTCCTGGGAAAATATGGAGAGAAAGAGCTGAGGGCAGTGAAAAGAGATGAATAGGAGAAAGAATTTTGAGCCTTAGGAAATGCTGTTCATTTACTTATGAGGATTATGTATGGTGTATGAATAGCATGAG